AAATCTTTTGCCCACCTTTTCACTGAGTTGTCTTTTCATGAGTCGTAAGATTTTGATTTGGGTTTCCTCAATGGTGATAATATACCAAGTGCTATTCTAAAGTCTAGGGAAACAAGTAGGTAGGACATAGCTGTTGCCCCTTAATGAGCTTACCCTCATAGTGGGGGTGGAAGGTCACATTGAAATAGAAAACAACAACAAGGTGCCTGACGCTGTGCCTGGCCTTTAAAGAATGGATAGCCAATGGTGGCTTCAATGATAATCATAATAGCTATTATTGTTGATACTATAAATGTCAACAGAGAGAAGTATGTACAGAGTGCTATGGTAGAAGGGAGTGACTGACTTTCCCATGTCTCAAGACAGCTTCTCTTGGGGTCACCCTCAAGGCCTCTGGGGCCCAGGAAGAGGAAGGCTGCAGCCAGAGGACTCCTCAAGGCCAAGAGAGGAAGGACCTCGGGTTGTATGTCATGGGCACAACTGGGTTTCTTGCCCCTGCGACTGTCAGCTCAGAGCAGGGTTATGTGACTGGGGAGGAAAGAGAGGCTTCCTTCATCTGTTTGTAGATGACCTCTACAGTCTTTGAGGGCAGTCTCAGAGGCTGATAGTCAATTTGATTACGTGGGTATATTGTCTGACTAGATTACGTGGGTACATTGTCTTGAACATTATATAATAGAACCTGAGATGTCTATTTCCTGGTGATAGCATAGTATGTTTTCAATTTGAACTTTTAAAGCCTAGAGCAATGGTGGCCTTTTAACATGGATGTTGTAGTACTCTTGGTAAAATATCAAAATCTGGTTTTGTTTGTTTGTTTGGGTCTCATTCTGTCACTCAGGCTGGAGTGCAGTGGCACAATCACCACTCACCACAGTCTCTACCTCCTGGGCTTAGGTGATCCTTCTGCCTCAGCCTGCTTAGTAGTTGGGACTACAGGTGCATGCCACCACGCTCAGTTTATTATTATTTTTTTTTTATACAGACAAGGTCTCACTGTGTTGCCCAAACTAGTCTTGAACTCCTGGGCTCAAGCAATCCTCCCTCATTGACCTCCCAGAATGCTGGAATTAGAGGTGTGAGCCATCTCACCCAGCCAAAAATGTTTATTCAATGTCATCATACGAACTAGTCATCTTAGTGGTAGGGAGTATTTTATGTTCCACATTTCTAAAAAAATTCAATTATAGAAAATTTTAAGAAATCTCATTTCCAAGAATTTTTTTTGTTATTGTTGCTATACTAGTCATCCTGTAGCACATGTTAGCAGAAAAGTGAGAATAGGTGCCACAAGTTAAGAAAAATGTGTTGGAAACGAAAAACTTAAAATTGAGTACATTCTAACAATTAACATAATCTAATTTAAGCTACCAAGTACTTCAGTTCAGTTGGGTAAGATGAAGTCGTTTCGAAGAAAGATAATTTTAGAAACATTGATGCAGAGTTTAAATTTTAATTTAAATATATAGTATTTTATTTTAAAAAATAAAGGTTAGTATCCGGTTTTAATGTCATCTATTGTGTGAACTATGGGTTTTTATTCAATCTTTAGTTCAGTTTGTCAGGCATCGACTGACTACCTTGCATATGGAAGGAACGTGTTTAAGTGTATAGTTTTTTGTCCTAAAAAGAGCTCATGATCTAAGGAAAAAACACTGTCTGGTGTAGGACACATACAAGAGGGGACCCAAAAATATCCTAGAATTATCCTTTGGAGGGCAGGCCCCTTGCAGTACAAGCATCCCCCGCTAGGTAAGTGTTCTAGGAACCCATCGGTACCAGTATACCAGCTAGTGTTGTTTTGCGAGGCTACATTCAGCTTCAGTGAATTTTTTTTTTTTTAAGATTCTTTCAAGCATTTGCCCATTTCATGATAGGTGATTTATGAGCACACCTGCCCACACTGCACTGAGTGTTCAGCAGTTTTTGACCAAAAACAGCATGACCCCTGTTCCCCACCCTCCTTATTCACCCGATCTTGCCCTGCTGGTTTTTTTTTTTTGTTTGTTTCCCTGGATGAAAGAAGTCCTTAAAGGGAAACATTTTGCTGATGTGGAAGAGGCGAAACAAAAAATGGCAGAAGCACTAAAAAGCATCAGAATTGATAAGTTCAAAACCTGTTGTGAGCAGTGGAAAAAAGCATCTAGACAGGTGTGTTGCATCAAACCAAGAGTACTTTGATGGTATTGAAGTTTAAATGTGTAAAAATAAATAACACAATTTTTTATAAATAAATTTCTTTGGGAGGGGAGCCCCGCCATGCCTTGCTGGTTACAAGAAGCAGCAAATGGTGAGAAAGGCTCTCATGGAGTTATCCAAGGTTTAGGAGTACAAGACAAGGAGAGGATGACTCTGAGTCAGAAGGGGTAGGCCTGGGAGAGCTTTCTGGAAGAGCTGATCCCTGAGCCAGAATTCAAAGGGCCAGCAGAGATGGGGTGAGGGGAGGAAACAGCGGGAGCAAGACTTAGAAAGTGTGTGTGGAAGGAATCAGGGAAGTGGTTGTAGCCTGGTACACCTGGTGAGTAGAATGATTAGGCGATGTAGCAGGGCATACTACTAGGAGAATAGGAAGAGTCACATAGTGTAGTCCTGATAATACCAAATCAGTGAGTCTGGACTTCATTCTATAAGCACCAGGGAGCCGTGGAGGTTCTTTGAGGATGGTTGTGACATGATCGAATTAATATAAAAGTAAGCCGGGCTTGGTGGCTCAGCCTGTAATCCCGCGCCTTTGGGAGGCTGAGGTGAGTGGATTGCCTGAGCCCGTGGGTTCGAGACCCGCCTGGGCAACTTGGCGAGACCTCATCTCCACAATAAATCAAAAAATGAGCCGGGTATGGTAGCGCACACCTGTAATTCCGGCTACTCGGAAGGCTGAGGCGGAAGGATCGCTGGAGCCCAGCGGGTCGAGGCTGCGGTGGCCGGGAGCGGCCACTGCACTCCAGGCTGGGTGACAGAGTGAGAATCCAACTCAAAAAAAAATATATATATATAAAAGTAGATCAAAGGTTAGGTTAAAGGTGGAGAAAATATTAGAGACCATTCTTGGGTGCTGTAAGTGCCGTCTTTCAAATTTCATATCAGTTAAGCCCCCAAGGGGTAGTTGGAGGTATGTAATACAGAAGTTCTTGTGTTTCAACTTTAAAGGCTAATTATGCCTCTGGCAAACCTCTTGTCTGATATTTTTATTTGACCAAGCAAGTGCTTATAAAGGGTAGCGCTGATAAAGCATGAACTTCCTTTTTTTCCAGCAAGAATAACATCTGAGTCAGTACCCCAGATTTTCTCCTTAAATGTTTCTTATTCGAGGGGAGGAACCAACCAGATTTGCATTTAGAAGCAAGATCAGGAAATGTGTCCATACGGCAGAAGAAGACGAACTGACAGGAAGCATGGCTGTTGGATAAAACTCCAGTCCCTAGGTCGGGACTGAACCCAGTGACCTGGGTTTGCAGCCCAGCTCTGCCACTTACAGGCTGTGTGACTGTAGGCATGTTAGGTAACCGGTCTGTGCCTCTGTTCTCTTCATCTGTAGAACTGGACAGTGGTACTCACCTCGGTGGCTGTTAGGAGGATTAAATAAAATGATACACAGAGACTGCTCTGAAGAGTGCCTGGCACTTAGGAAGCGCTCCATCAGTGTGAACTATTCATAGTCATTTGTTGGTCAATAAATGTCTATGACACATTGTAGTTGACATTGAGCTTCACAGTCACCTTATGGGTACTGTTACCATTGCTGCTAACAAACCACCCAAAACCTAGAGCCATAAGATAACAACCATTTTATTATGCTCACAGATTCTGTGAGTCAGGATTCCTGAAAAAAGGACAATGAGGATGATTTCTTTCTGCCTTCGCGGTGTCTGAGACCTCGACTGGAGGCTACTTGAAAGGCTGGGGAGGGGAGAGGCAGCTGGCCTTGGCAGACCCTCTTCCAGGATGGCATCTTCCACTCACCTGTGTGGCACTTTGGTGGGATGGCTAGAAGGCTGGACTCAGCTAGGACTGTCACCTACATGTGGTCTCTCCAGCATGGTGGCTTCAGGGGCACAGGCCAACTTATAGCGTACTTTCAGCAAAAGCTGCATGCCTTTGATGTCCCAGTCTTGGAAGTCCTATCATGGACACTTCCCATTCTCTTTTGGCTGAAGCAGTCACATGCCCTGCCCCCAGACCCAAGGGTGAGAGGTATAGGCCACACATCTCCATGGGAGGCATATCAAAGAATTTGGGGCCATGTTTTAAATCACCACATTGGTATCATTCCCTACTAGAGAGTACAATTCAGTGGAGACTACATGATTTGTCAAGGGATAGTAACTGGGAGTTAGGGAAAAGAGGAGCTTTAGGGGAGGAAAATGACTTCTTTTTTTTTTGAGTTGGAGTCTCACTCTGACGCCCAGACTGGAGTGCAGTGGCATGCTCACAGCCACCGCAGCCTTGACCTCCTGGGCTCAGACGATCCTTCCACCTCAGCCTTCCAAGTAGTTGGAACCACAGGTACGTGCCACCACACCTGGCTAATTTTTTGATTTATTGTAGAGATGAGGTCTTGCCAAGTTTCCCAGGCTGGTCTTGAACCCGTGGGCTCAGGTAATCCTCTCACTTCTGTCTCCAAAGTGCTGGGATTATAGGCGTGAGCCACCGTGCCTGGGCTGATTCTAAATTCTTACCCGATTCTTCTGATTCTAAATTCTTGCTCTTTCAATTAGATTATTCAGCCTCCTTAGTTGATATATACTGCTAATATGTGAAAGTTAAAAGAAAAAAGTTAACTGGCTTTGAGTCTATTAGGTAACTTCCTTAAATAGAAACAGAGACCTAAAAAGTATAAGGTCTGCATTTAGATGAGTTACACATAAACAGACTTCATATTTTAAGGTGGTTCTGGGAGGAGTTCCACCCTGAGATTGGTCAGACAGCAACTTTGTATCATGTCTTCCCAAGGAAAGAGCTCTGGAACTAGATATGCAACTATGATTTTGTTTGCTCTCCAGGAAAATCTCACCTGGCCATTGTCCAGCGGGTGAATAATGAAGGGGAAGGGGACCCTTTCTATGAGGTGATGGGCATTGTCACGCTGGAGGACATCATAGAGGAAATCATCAAGTCCGAGATCCTGGATGAAACTGACCTCTACAGTAAGTGCCTGGCCTTGATTGAATTCCCAAGGTCATTTCCTTTCCTCCAAGACTCTCAGGTGCAACTCAGTTTGACATAGAGCGTAAAAGGGTGTCCGGGCAAGCCCTGTGCTCTGAGGTGTGCCAGCCACCTATGCCAGGTGCTGGCGTGGCAGGATACCCTGGCTGGAATTACTCCTGAGTCACTGGGAACATGCTAACTGTTTGTCAGGAGGGAAGCTTCAGGAACTGAGCCAAGAGTAGGAAAAGGAGACCTCCCTGCCTTGGATGGAAAAGGGAAAAAAAGAAACAAAGTGTGCCCAGGATGGTGCCAGGGGCCTCTCTGCCCGGTTGTTCTGGTTCTGCCTCTTCGTCCACCTAGACGCAGACCCCAGCACCCTGTGGGGGGTTTCACTCACACCAGAGCATCAGTGGGTAGTGGAGACTGTCACTGCCCACCCACCGCCTGCGCCAAAAATGTAAATATCCCTTCTGAGACCCTGCCCTGCCCTCTTATGCCTTTAAGCCCACCACTTTGGGGTTCTTGTTCTCCCCACACCACCCTAGACAAAGCACTTGCTGCCTGGGTTTCTGCCCGTTTCTTTCTGGTCCCCTCACCCTCCTACCCAGTCCCTTCATGAACCATCTAGACTCCTTTATGCTTTGGGTTACTGGACCTTATCAAAGCTTGCTTGCAGACATTGCAAAGGCATGCTCCATCTCCAGGATGGAAGTGTGATCCAAGTCCATGGAGACCCCAGCCAGGAAGGATCTCCTCCTCAGCATTCCTTCTCTTGGGCGGCCATCCCCTTTCCCCTCAGATAGGGCACTTCAGATGCTGAGGCTCTCCTGGAGAACCTGCCTTTAGGGATCAAAGGTCCATTCTTTCTTCTTCTCTTCTCTTCTTCCCTGTATTTTTATTTTATTTTATTTTTTATTTTTTGAGTCAGCGTCTCACTCTGTGGCCCAGGATGGAGTGCAGCGGCACGCTCACAGCCTCCGCAGCCTCAACCTGCTGGGCTCAGGCGATCCTTCTGCCTCAGCCTTCCAAGTAGCTGGAACTACAGGCACGTGCCACCACACCTGGCTAATTTTTTGATTTATTGTAGAGATGAGGTCTTGTCAAGTTTCCCAGGCTGGTCTTGAACCCGTGGGCTCAGGCAGTCCTCTCCCTTCAGCCTCCCAAAGTGCTGGGATTATATATAGGCATGAGCCACCGTGTCTGGCCCTTCCCTCTATTTTTCCTAATTATCTCCCATGGGGGGCCGGGGTAGAAGAAGCCCTTCAGAAACTGGCTCTGGGTAGAAAGAGCTTTCATGTGGTGTGGCAGCGTGCAGTGCTGAAAGAGCATCCTCTCTTTGGGCTGAGAAGAGCTCAAACCCCAAAAGGAGGCCAGGCCTTGACAGACACTAGCAAGAGTGTCATTGCACCTCCCTCCGAGAACCTGGTGTCACTATGTGCTGGGGTCTTCTTCAAACAAGGACTGAGCTCAGAATGTCCTCTGCCTCCCCCTCCCCCCTACTGCCCCCCCCAGCCACTCTTACTTTAAACCCCCAGGTGTCTCAGTAGATAAACTGGTGAAGACATTCACACTAAGGTGTTAGTGGCTGATAAATCTACATGAGTCAGCTCCTCCAAGATGTGTTTGAACAACCTGAATGCAAAAAGGCCCCCCTATTAAAATAAAGCAATAAAGCAGGAGCTCAGAGGAATGACTCCAATAATGAAATGTGAAGTGGCATTCTGAGGGGGGGTGAGAGCCAAAGAGCTGGGCCCTAGCCTGGAGTTGCTGCTGTCTTGCTGAGTGATCCTCTTTCTAAGGAGAGGGTTAGGCTCTTGTCTACCCTTTTCATCATGCCTGTGTGATTCCTTAAGAGCTGTGAGACGGCTAAGGAGCCAAGGAGCCAGGAGTACTGTGTTTCTGCTTCCTCTTTTTTTTTTGTTGGAGTCTCGCCCAGGTGCATGCAGTAGCACGCTCACATCCATTGCAGCCTCAACCTGCTAGGCTCAGGCGACCCTTCGCCTCAGTCTTCTAAGTAGCTGGAACTACAGGCATGCACTGCCACGCCTGGCTAATTTTTTGATTTATTGTAGAGATGAGGTCTGGCCAAGTTACCCAGACTGGTCCCGAACCTACGGGCTCAGGCAGTCCTCTCACCATGGCCTCCCAAAGTGCTAGGATGACAGGCTTGCTGTGTTTCTTCTTACATGACGCTGACTTCTTCCGTGATCCCGACTCCTGGTTAAACCTGAGCAGAAAGAATGTCAAAGCAGGACCAGGTGACACGAAGGCCCAGGGTCAGAGCAGGCTGCAGAATTGTTGTGCTAGGGCGGGCACTTTCTCCCTTTTAGAAAGAAACCCAAAAGCTCTGGAATAAGAGGCTCTAGTAGGAGAGGGAGAAGATTCTGAGGCCCAATTTTTCTGCCTGGTGGTTTAGTCCCTTCAAGTCTCACTGTATCCATTCAGTTGGCCCTGTCAGCCCTGTTTTTTCCAGGCCAAGTTTGGAGAAAACCCAGACCCCTCTTCCAGTTTCCCTTAGTACAGGTAGGATAGGCTGGCAGTTTCAATGTTTCACTCAAAACTCAGGGAAAGCAAAAGAGAAATGACCGAAGGAAACACACCGCCCCCCCAAAAAAATACGTATGGGTATATATATTTAAGACAAGCTTAAAAAAATAGGTGAAAAAAAAATAAGTTGGAAAAAGCAAATTTCCTCAACCAATAACCATGTGCCCAATATATAGGCTTTTTTGGGGGGAGGGGTCGGTTTCAGACCCTGCCTGGATTACCTGCCTTTATTTTTTATTTTTTATTTTTTTCCGAGTTGGAATCTCACTCCGTCGCCCAGACTGGAGTGCAATGGCCGCTCCTGGCCACCGCAGCCTCGACCTGCTGGGCTCCAGCAATCCTTCCACCTCAGCCTTCCGAGTAGCTGGAACTACAGGCGTGCACGCTACCATGCCCGGCTGATTTTTGATTTGTTGTAGAGATGTGGTCTCCCCAAGTTGCCCAGGCGGGTCTCGAACCCATGGGCTCAGGCAATCCACTCACCTCAGCTTCCCAGAGCGCAGGATTACAGGCTGAGCCACCGAGCCCGGCTGATTACCCACCTTTAGAGCGGTTCCCCCTAACAATATAGGTCCCTGCCTGTTTCTTCCCTTCTCTCCTCCTTGTATTTTTCCTGATTGTCTCCCATGGAGGACCTGGGGCTGAAGCAGGAGCACTGTGAGAGGTAAGAGGTGGTGACCACCCTCCTCACCATGGTGGCATGCCTCAGGCACCAGTCAGGGCGTGGCTTAAATCAGCAGCAGGAGACCAGGCCAAGCCAGTTCTAGGGAAAGGAGGGGGACAGAAGCAGAAACTCCCTGGCCATCCCCCACCCCACCCCCTGCCCTCCTGATGCTAAGAACACACGTCCCTCGTGTTTGCAGGCCTTTATAAAGGCAAAATCACAGGTATTTTCCTGTTGGAGTCTTGTGCTAACTGCACAAGACAAATAGAGGGGCTGTTCTGAAATATTATGAGCATCCGTGTACGATTAAGACAAACAAAAACTCTGATGCTCAGAGAGGTTGCACAGCTTGTAAGTAGGGAGCCAGCCCCAGAACCTGGGACTGGGGCATCCGAGCCAGCTTCCCCCTTCTCCCTAAACACCACCTAAGTGTTACTTACACAGAGAAGAGCGTGGTGTCCTCCCTCTGTACTCACCAAGACCCTTCTACTCCCTGGGAAAGAAATGTTGAGATGTCACCTAGAGTTGGCACTGCAGAAATGCGTGGTCCCAAAGGATCTGTCTGTCCCCTATGACTCTGGGAAAACCTCCAAAGACCCACAGGGATTCTGAGATAGCTGCACTCTGTCCCCTGTGACCCTGTAGCCGACAATCGGAAAAAGCAGAGGGTCCCGCACCGGGAGAGGAAGCGCCATGACTTCTCCTTGTTTAAGCTTTCCGACACGGAGATGCGGGTGAAGATCTCGCCACAGCTTCTGCTGGCTACACACCGCTTCATGGCCACAGGTAGGACTCTGCCCACCCCAGAGCAGCTGAAGCAGAAACTCCAAGGTGGGATGGGCACCAATCCTTGTCAGTACCTTCCAATCGGATTCCAATGTGTACCCAGGACTGAGTCTGAGACTACTCTTCTAGGAGGGAGGGTGCCTCAGATAGGGTAACAGATGCCACCCGCTGTCATGTTGAGCTCCGGGGAATAAGTGAGTACAACCCAATTCTTCTACTCAAGAGAGGAGCCACAGAAGCCACCGCGCGGCATTTTCCTTTTTGTAGTTACTCACTGGCTGAGGCCTGAAGCTGTCCTCCGTCCTGTGAGAGTTTGGGTGCCCCAGAATATGTGTCTGGGAGGGAAAGACCTTGTCCTACCCAGCAACAAGACTCCTGGGTCCAGTACCCTTCAGGGGCCGAGTAGGCCTGTGAGCTAGGAATTCTTAAGATATAGAAGTAGATTGTGGATCCTGGAGTCTTTATTTTTTATTTTTTTACTTTTTGAGTTGGAGTCTCACTCCGTCTCCCAGGCTGGAGTGCAGTGGCACACTCACGGCCACCCCAGTTCTGACCTGCTGGTCCCAGGCGATCCTTCCACCTCAGCCTTCCAAGTAGCCGGAACTACAGGCACGCGCTATCACACCCAGCTAATTTTTTGACTTAGTGTAAAGATAAAGTCTCACCAAGTTGCCCAGGCTGTTCTTGAATCCGTGGACTCAGGCAATTCCCTCACCTCGGCCTCACAAAGTGCTGGAATTTGCAGGCTTGAGCTACCTTGCCTGGCCAATCTTAGAGTCTTTAGAAGAAAAGAAAAAAGGCAAGAGAATCCAAAGATGAACTCCTTGTGACGAAGGTCAGGTGTGTCATTGAACCCTCTGATATTCCATGCCTTATTAATGAGCTGACCCAGAATGAACATGTCTATCACCAAGTTCAACATTTAGTTAATTAAAATTATATTTACTGAAGAGATAATGAATGCCAGCACTGAGCCAGGGGCTAAGACGTAGAAAATTTTTAGTTGGAGCTTCTTTAAGGTAGAATTTTCAACATATTATCTCATTCTCAATACAAATTTCTTTTAACCACTGGCTGTCTGATTTCCCAGAGCAAAACAGCTGTATCTATTTAATGTAATAGAACTATATAATATCTGTTCATATGTATCTGTGATACAATTATGCTTCACATTACTGACAACTTATTAGAAATAATTACCTGTCTCTATTAACTTGGGATTTCATTTCATTCTGCAGATAAATGTCATACAGATAAGCCAGATTAAATTCTCTGTATTTCATTCGATTATAGCATTAAAGACTCCGTTCACATGGCTTAGTTATATATGTCCAACTTTAAAGAAAATCCCAAAGAAAATTATTAACAAAACTGACATTTCCAAAATGGTAACCTGTTTCTCCTGAGATGCCAGTGTAGGGACACGCATCCCCAGAGGGCATGGGGAAGGCCCTGAGATGTATCTCTTTTTTTTTTCTTTTTTTTGAGTTGGTATCTCACTCCATTGCCCTGGCTAGAAGGCAGTGGCACACTCACGGCCACCCCAGCATCAACCTGCTGGGCTCCGGCAATCCTTCTGCCTCAGTCTTTCAAGAAGCTGGAACTACAGGCGCACATTACCACTCCCAGATAATTTTTTTAAAAAAATTTATTGTAGAGACAAGGTCTTGCCAAGTTGCCCAAGCTAGCCTCGAACCCACGGGCTCAAGTAATCCACTTGCCTCGGCCTCCCAAAGTGTTGGGTTTACAGGCTGAGCCACTGAGCCCAGCCATTCTGAGACACACCTTGGGGGTCATATCCGCACCGTGAAGGAACCGCGGGAGCCCTGTCAGCCTGGTGCTAGGCGCGTGAATGGGGTGGTTCTAGCCCTGGTTGTAGCCACGCTGACTCCTCCCAGATGCTGCTGCAGGGATGGGCAGGTGGGACGCGGCAGGTGCTGATGCCTCCCTGCCCTCCACCCTCCCCTAGAAGTAGAGCCCTTTAAGTCTCTGTACCTTTCGGAGAAGATCCTCCTCCGACTCCTGAAGCATCCCCACGTGATCCAGGAGCTGAAGTTTGACGAGAAGAACAAGAAAGCCCCAGAACACTACCTCTACCAGCGCAACCGCCCTGTGGACTACTTTGTGCTGCTTCTGCAGGTGAGTAGGAAAGTCGAGGAGCCTGTAAGAGCAGAACGAGGGCGTCTCCACAGTGGAGAGGAGCGGCCGTGCTTCTCTCGGCTGCTTTTCAGCCTTTGCAGTCCCTAGAATCTTCTCCCCCTTAAGAGGACCAGGACACAGGAAGGGGCAAAAATGACCGTGTGAAGGTAGTGCAGCATGCTTTCACAAATATAATCACCTTCCACCCTGGGCGCCCAAGCGAGGCCTGTCTTACAAGTGTCAGGTGCGGTTGCAGCTTGTCATGCCATGGTGCCCTGTCCTGGCTCCACCATTACCTCTGTCACTCATTCTCTGTCTCTTCTCAACAGATCTATGAGCCCTACATGCAGAGATTGTTTTAAAACTTTGGTTAAGCTCACATTAGCTTAGAAATAGCCTCTCTGTGTTACGGTCCACATCCAGCCTCTCTGCGCTGATGCTACAATTTGCCTCCACATATCCTCCCAAATGGTCTCGATAAAATGGCCTCTTTTCTCCAAAAATGGAGTCCCATGCTTCACCGTTAAAAACGGACAAGGGCTCTGTCACAATTACTATATGACATAATGAACACATAGTCTACAGTCTTATGCTTAGTATAAATTTGACAGTTTTCAAATAAAATGTGGAGGGAATAAAATGTGCAGGCTCAGAACTGGGAAAGATCAGGTTTTAACATGCCATCATTGCCATTTCCTAACTAACCTCGACCAAGTTCTTTAACCCCTCTGAGCCCCAGAATCACTTCATCTCTAACCTGGGAGTAAACATGGAATGGGCCTCATGGAGCTGTGGGGCCAATTGTGCGAGATCCCATGCCGTGCACAAAACACAGAATCAGGTCTGTACACACACACAGGACACCACATATTGGCTCTCATGTTTACTAATGATGAATTACACAAGCTACACATGGAATTAGACTTGATCTCCACCCAACTTAGACCTGGTCTCATCTCAGTCTACACCAGTGGGGTAGTTTCTGGGGCCCTGGCTTGACTGGTGCTTGGACCTGCATCAGGGAAAGCCGTTGCAGTCTGACTATTCATGACTGAGTGCTACTCATGAATAATCAAGCAGTGAATTTTCTGCAAAGAGCTACCACAGTTGGAGGCGTGGAATACTGTGCAGCCAAAAAAAAAAAAAAATAGAATGAAGTCATGCCTTTTGCAGCAACATGGATATAACTGGAGGCCATCATTCTAAGTGAATGAAAACCAAAAATCAAATACCGCTTGTCCTCACTTTAAGTGGGAGCCACACACTGAGTATACATGGACATAAAGATGGGAACACAGACATGGGTGACTCTAAAGTGGAGGGGAGGGAGAGGGACAAGGGTGGAAAAACTACCCCTTGGCTACCATGCTCATTATTTGGGTGATGAGTTCAGGAGGCACCCAGACCTCACCATCACGCCATATACCCACAAAACAAGCCTGCACGTGGACCCCCGAATCTAAATAGTAATAAAAAAAGATTGGAGGCAGAAGACATAAATCTGGACAGGATGAACCTTCCCCTGTGATATGATCATGAGTCCCTTTGTCATCCAAGCAGAAATGCCTAGGGTCTAGTCTCTAACAGCCCCAGATGTGCCTGCATGTTCTCAGTGGCTTCTTCTTTCTTCCAGGGGAAAGTGGAGGTAGAGGTGGGGAAGGAAGGCCTTCGCTTTGAGAATGGAGCCTTCACCTACTACGGTGTCCCAGCCATCATGACCACTGCGTGTTCAGGTATTCTAGTTTCCATTTGCTTACTGGGGAAGCAATGGGACATGGTAGAAAAAGCACATGGGCTCAAGTCTTGACTCCTCTTTTGAGTTCCCACCTGTTTGCCTGTGGTTCCTCTCACTTCCTCTTGCTTCCCTCTCTTCACTCTTTCCTTCCTTCCTTCCTTCCTTCCTTCCTTCTTTCCTTCCTCCCTCCCTCCCTCCCTCCCTCCCGTCCTGTCACCTAGGAGTGCAGTGGCATAATCAGGACTGACTGCAGCCTCTATCTCCTGGATTCAGGCAATCCTTCTGCCTGAGCCTCCCAAGTAGCTGGGTCACAGGCACGCAAATCAACAATTTTTGTTGTTAGCATTTTTATTTTGTTTTGTTTTTGTAGAGACAAGGCCCCACTATGTTGTCCAGGCAGGTCTCAAACTCCTGGGCTCAAGCAATCCTCCCACTTGGCCACCCAAAATGCTTGGATTACAGGCATGAGCCACCACACCCAGCCTCTTTTGATTGCTCTTTTGACTCCTGCAACCCTGAACAAGCCTTGGCTTACATTTCTTCCTCTGCGAAATGCATATAATAATCACTTTCTATTCTGTTAGTCTTTGCTTTAATAAGTGAGAAGAGTATTACACTGAAAAAAAGAAAAGCGGTCACCTGATGGAGTGCTAGGAATGGCAGATAGAATATTTCAGTATGGAAAGACAAGCTTATTTTGCCTTTTACGCATGTTCCCTACCCTTCCATGGGTTGCCTGGTTTTTACAGGGTTAATCAGCACCAGGGGTGGAGTGGAAGAGGGGCAATTCCTGGAAGAAGTTTTGTTTTCTGAAATGCCTCTGAACCTCACCCCTCCTTCTGTCCCTAGACAGCGACGTGCGGAAGGTTGGAAGTCTGGCTGGATCCTCCGTCTTTCGTATGTATCTCCCAAATCCAAATCCCTTCCTCATCCCTCCTCAGCCCCCTCTGGGGACCTGGACCGAGCACTTTATGCCTGGGCTGGGGCTAAGACAAATGCTGGCAGCCTCTTTGTAAAACGTTCTGCCAGGTACCCACAGACCGTGGGGGCTTAGGTTCTGTGTGGGGGGCATGTTTTCTGCGGCTTCTCTGCTCACATGCAAGCAATAAGCGGTTGGGGGTGGGGGTCGGGGGTGGAGGCCCCACCTCCTGCCACCGGCCAGGAAATGCAGGCCGGTGACATGTGTGCTTGAGTGGAGGCTCAGCCTTCCCTTCTCTGCAGTGATCATTCACCCACTGGCCTTCACGGGGAAACCCTCAAATGCCATCTCTGTGCCTGTGGGGTTTGTTCTCAGTAAGAAGTGACTGCAAGGTCTGGGGCCGTGTGTCCCAGGCTGGTGCAGTGCGTGGCTCATCGGCTTCTCCTTCCCTGTTCCCCCTCTCGGTGGGTGGAGGGGCATCGGCGGGCCGGGGTGCATGCTGTGGGCCGGGCGGGCACGGGGCTGCCAGCTGCTCTGCCCTGCCCCTCCTCGTGCTGTGTCTTCTGGCTCTTCGCTGTGTAGAATCACCGCACTCGTGTCTAAGGGGCATGGCCTTGACTGTGATGTCAGTGTGATCCAGAAAGAATGACTTCTCTTGATCTCTTTTGATTCACGGGTCTGAGTCTTGCATCGCTTTCAGCTGTTAGCATTTACGGCAGCCGCTTCAATGCCAAATGGGGTGTTTCCCTGCATCATAAAAAAGATTTTACATTGTGTGTTACGCTGGAATTTATCAGAGGACCCCTGAGCTTGATATCACAGTCCCTGGAACATGGCAAGGTAGATACCATTTAAGTGAAATGAAAGAAATGGCTTGCTTCAAACCACCCAGCAAGTTGATGACTTGCCTAGATGCTTTCTGGTGTCCTGGCCAGTTCACCCAGCACAATGAAATACAGATTGCAGTTTCTGTGTGGAAGTTGTAGAACCATTTTCTCTGTAATTTCACAACCTTGCCCAGCAGAGGGCTTCAGTGGAGTCTGAGTACACACCCGCACCAAAGGGGTGGCAGAACTTGAGTTGAAGGAGACCTGGAAAATAAAAAAGACCCTCAAATCTCAATCAGGGCTGGTGAAGGAAGCATCAGTACTCAGTGGAAGAACTCTGGATGGGTAAGGGACGCGGGACTGAGTCAAGCTCCATTCTGTCCAGGAGATTTCCACTGTCTGTCATGCTAGGAGCTGCTCCTGGAATTCTAATATGTTACCTAGAAATGTGGTCCTGCTCTGACTCTCCCAGGAGACCAAAAGAGGTGAAAAGTCTAAGAAAAAGTCCTATATAAGACTTTCCAAGCCAGACTCGGTGGCTCAGCCTGTAATCCCACGCCTGGGGAGGTTGAGGTGAGTGGATTGCCTGAGCCCGCGGGTTAGAGACCTCATCTCTACAATGAATCAAAACGAGCCGGGCATGGTAGCACGTGCCTGTAATTCCAGCTGCTCGGAAGGCTGAGGCAGAAGGATCACCGGAGCCCAGCAGGTCGAGGCTGCGGTGGCCAGGAGTCGCCACTGCACTCCAGTCTGGGTGACAGAGTGAGACTCCAACTCAAAAAAAAAAAAAAAAAAAAGACTCTCCAGCCCATCCAATTTAGATGACCTTCTTACTTTAAAAAAAAAAAACAAAACTTTCTTACACAGAAGGAAGACTTTACCTGACTTCTTCCTTTCCTTCCTTCCAGTCTCTAGTCTATCAAAGCATTTTGATTTTATCAGTGAGATGAGAGTAAACTCTCAATACCAATCACTCCTGGTTAGCTAAAAAGAATTATCTAGCCCTTCCCCTCCCTGTGTTTTTTTAGCAGCTTTATAAATCTTCAGAAGGAAAAAGAAATATGATTAGCTAATAGGGATGAGGAAACATATTACATCCTCCTCCAAGCCCTCCCTGCGTAATGGGTGAAGTGTGGTGCAGCCGTCCAGCCTCTTTCACTGGCCAAGAGCCTCGGCCTATAGGTCATGGGAGGGCTCAAGACTGAGCCACAAGTAGTTAACTCCTGTAGGGTCTTAGCCTGGAAAACACCCCCATCCTTGAACCAGCCTGCAGCTGACTCAGCTTATTAGGATGAGAAGTGAGATGATGAGTCTATGGGAATACTGGCCCTGTGACCTACATACACTTCAGCGTTGAACTTGAGATGACACAGAAGCCTCTGGTTTTCCCATGGTAGGGTGGAGGGAGGGATCGAAGGGCATACACTCCACACTGTCTTCTTTTTCTGATCGCCAGGGAACACAGCAGAACCTTGATGGGCTGGCAGTCTAGAGGAAGCCTACCCGATCTCAGGGACCTGGAACAGGTGCACACAGAGACATGTAGATGTGAACAGTTGGCAGTGTATACACTTAATTCTATGATTCTTCTTGAGAATATAGGGCTTCTTACTCCAATGTGTCTCATAATGTTAAAGATTCATTCAACTACTATGTACACTTGTATGGAAACAAACTTGAAAAAAAAAAAAAAAGATTCATTCAAATATTCATTAACATCTCACGTCAGAGTAAATGACTACCAGGTAGGTATAAAGTCCCCCGCACCCCCCGCATGCGCAGGTAATTTTAGATAAAATCATTTTAGTACAACAAGCAAGACTGCACAGGGCTGCCTCTGTCAGGGTGCTGTCCCCCACAGACTGGCTTCATTTCACTCCTGAAAAGGGACTCTGGGAATGCTCAGATAAGAGAGATGAAGCCAGAGTCCCATGCTGAGACACCCCTCAATCGGGATCCAGATGGGGAAAGGACTGGACTGCTGCTACACGCTTCATCCCACCCCGGCCCCAGGGGATAGGCAGCACCATTACAGACCCTGGAAAAGAGCAGGAAGGGAGGGGGTGGAAAGAGGGGGATGCCGAGCACTGTCATTTGCTGTGAAGTCACTGTGACTTACAGTTTTGAGGTTGGTTGGTTTGTTTTGAGATGGAGTCTTGCTCTGTCGTGCAGGCTGCGGTGAGGGCTGGAATCATAGCTCACTGCAGCCTCAAACTCGTGGACTCAAGTGATCCTCCTGCCTTGGACTCCCCCAGTGCCAGGACTACAGGCGAGAACCGCCGTGCTCAGCCCAAAGTGACGATGTTTTAATTCATCAAGTGACGTTAAAACTGCTAGAAATATTGTCTTCCTTTAGTCCTGGTCCTCTAGCAGTGCACAGTTCCTCACCGGCACTGTGACCTCAGAAGGCACCCATAGGGGTCCGAGGCAGGATCAGAGAGGCCCCTGGTGGGAGCATGTTCTTTCCTTCCAAGCCTCTGAATGCCTGTGCGGCGCCCTCCCAGTGGGGCAAGGCCCTGGCGGCTGGGACGGCCGGTGGGGCTGCAGCCTGGTGGAACGGCCTGGGCTCCCAGCATGTTGCTGGCTCAGAATGGCCTGGGAGAATGCTGCCTCCATGATCCCCACCGGGGCACAACCTGCGCTTGTCACTGCCATCCCTGAGGCCCTCTAAGATTACTGCACGTCCTTTCAGAAGACCTTCAGCAAAGCCCATTCTGTTTTCCTGTGTTTCTGGAAAGCAGCTTTTTAAGAGGGTGCGACTACTGTGTTTTCAGAAGTGCAATTCCTTTTTGCAGAGAAATGTGCTGCTGTGAAGCTCCCAGATCCAACTCTCACCCACTTTGCTCTTTGTCTCTCTCCTTTTGTGTTTATCTTCCTTCCGCAACTCACAACCCTGACTCTTTAGTGCCCGTCTCTGGGTCTCGTACCTCCGCCGTCAGCAGAGGGGACTCTCTGGCGGGCTCCCCAGGTAAACATGCATGGGGGTCTCGGGTCTTCGTAGAGCCAGTGGGTTTGCAAGAAGCCTTTGGTCTCTGTCACTGTCCTGCATGAGAACAGTCTTTCCCACGGGCACTCGTGTGACTGAGGCAATATGTGTTGGGCAAGTGACACACTCGTGTACCCACGGCCCGGGCATGGCTAGTCCAATGGCATCATCTGTGAATTGCCCTCCCAGGGATGTATCTGTGTGTACGTGGAAAAACAGTGAGGGTGAGGGATCGTGCGACTTCTTCCGCGTGATTCGTCCAGCTGCAGAGTGGAGGGAGGAGGACAGTAGGGGAGACATGGGAAGAAATAACGGAATCCCCTGCTCTCTACCCACCTGTCTTCCTCCCACCTTGCTGTCTGTGTCTGCATCCTCCTTGTAATATAATTGTGTGACGCTCACATTCTCTGCAAAGGATGCTACATGTAAACGTTTCATTAGGCTTAATCTCTCCTGTTAATTCAGTACAAGTTGACTGGGTTTCTTCTTAACCTGGCAAAGCTGCTCTCAGTAGAGCTATACAGTAACTGCGTGCAGTGCGTGCGATATATCTGAGCCATCGGTTAACTGTTTATGTTGTTTTCATCTCTGGAGGTTGTTTTCTTGGGCTCATAGAGCAAGTAATGACCAAGCCAGGAATGTATGTGTTAAACTGCCCCACAGTTCGATCCCGGTGCCCTTTGGTTGAGGCAGTGATTCCGAGGCTCCACCGTATGCCTCAGTCATCAAGAATCCATGTAAGGTTTCTCTGTATGGTAGACCCTCAACATTTTTTTGAGGCGGGGTCTTACTCTGTAACTCAGGTGGGGGTGCAATGGCACGATCTCGGCTCACTGCAGCCTCGACATCCTGGGCTCAAGTGATCCTTTCGCCTCAGCCTCCTGAGTGGCTGAGACTATAGCTGGGCCCCTCCACCCGGGGCTAAATTTTTGTTTTTGTTTTTGTGGAGACAAGATCTTGTTATGTTGCCCAGGCTAGTCTCTAACTGCTGGGCTCAAGTAGTCCTTCCGCCTCGGCCTCGCAAAGTGCTGGGATTACAGGTGTGAGCATCACAATCAGCAACCCTCAACATGTAAAAAGGCTGTGTCCTGAGACCTCAAGCCCCCAAATCTACAAGGAGTATTTATGTTGACTTCTATTTCCTCCCAAATCACATTTTCCCATCAAAAGTCATCTAGTTCCCATGTTTACCTGTACAAGACAAGTTAACCAGCTTCTCAGATGTCACAGAAGTGTTTTCTCTCACTTGATGGCCATTTTCCACTGAGAAAGCTCTCCCTGTTTTGTGAGAGCTTGGGCCTCCATGATGACCATAGGATAGGACGGTCGATGTCAGATGCCAGGCTGGTTCCACCAACTGAATGGTCTGCTCCTATATGCCACCAAAATTAGAAGTGCCCACATCACAGACCTCCACGATCCCTCATATGCAGCGACTTTTGGTGAATGCCAAGGGTGTGCTATGACGGATCAGTAGAAAGGGAAGGTGCGTGTTTTTCAGCCAAAGGGGTCAAAGCAGGGGTGTATTTTCCTTTTTAATTAGCCTCCAGCTAACCAGATAACCTAGTCTATTATAGCATTCTAGTTAAAGAAAGACTGTCTAGTCATCAGTATTTATTGTGAAAAGTTTCATGGTAACCCAGTGTCAGGAAGAGATTAGAGCAACTCACTTCTGCTGCGGAGAACCCCCAGGAAGTGCTGCAACTTTTTTTTTTTTTTTTTAGAGACAGGGTCTCACTATGTTGGCTTAAACTCCTGGCCTCAAGGGCTCCTCCCACCTCAGCCTCTTAAAGTGTTGGGGTAACAGGCATGAGTCACCACACCTGGCCTGTTGCGACTTCTGATCCATGTGTCCCCGAGAGCCCTTCCAGCCTTCTTCCATTTTCCATGACTGTGAGTGTCCAGCCCAGCAGGAGATGGGGTCCGCCCACAAGGGAAACCGACTGATAAAGAGGGGAGCATGAGGCCAACTTATCCCACCCGTGGCTTAGCTCTGCGGGGTCGTGGCAGACACACAGAAGGTGGGAGTACCTTGTTCCTTCTCTGACTCTTTTCCGTGCTCTTTCTGTGCTATCACCTCTGTCCCGCTCGCTTTTGTTCTGTTTCACCAAAAGAAGGAGCCCAAGAAACCTAGGACTTTTAGAATGAAGTTCTGGACACTTTCTGGCCCCATACTTGATTTCTGATCCAGATACATTAATTTACGTATATATGAAGTCTTAACCCCATCTAATATCAGGGGAAAAATAAACCCTAAGAATTTATAGGGCCTGTAAGTTAAAATAACTGTTTTATTTAACCCCCACAGCTACCTTAGAAGACAGGCAGGAATTGTTACTGGAAAATAACAGATAAAGAAATGGGTTCTGAGAGTGTGTGGTAAGCAAGAAGTGGGACCAGGGTTGAACTCCAAGTCTCTTAGATGCTGCACTCCTGGGACCTGAGACCTCGCCATACCTCTGCATATAGGCACTTTGTGTCCCCGAGAGGCTGTGATGTGTTGGCACTTTGAAAGCAGCCACTGGGTGCATCTATCTGGTGCCCGACACTGGATTGAGGCCAGGGGTCCCTGCACCAAATACTTCCATCATCATCCACAGGGATTTTCTTTCTACTTAAGCCTTAGCTTGAAATAAGGACAGCACAGTGGTTTATGGATTACCTCAAATGCAGTGTAATAAGCCAACTCTACAGGGGCCTTCATTTAAAAATGAAACTTCTAGCCAGCACAGTGGCTCATACCTATAATCCCAGCACTTTGAAAGCCCAAGGTGGGAGAATTGCTTGAGCCCAGGAGTTCAAGACCAGGCTAGCTAATATAACAAGACCTTGTCTTTACCAAAAACAAAAAACAAAAAAAATACAAAGATACAAAAATTAAGCAGGCATGGTGGTACACGCCTGTAGTCCCAGCCATTCTGGAGGCTAAGGCAAAAGGATCACCTGAGCCCAGAGATTGGAGGCTAAAATGAACTGTGATTGCACCACTGCGCTTCAGCTTGGGTGACAGAGTGAGACCTTGTCTCATTCATAAATAAACAAATAAATGCATACATTCATAAATAAGTAAATAAATAAGAAACTTCTAATCAGCCCCCTGAAAGTACACAGCTCCACAGTGGTTATCATTCCCTCTCCCCAGATTCATTTCTTCTATCTTTTCTTGGTGGCGGAGATCATTTTAAGTTGCCCGTGACAGTCTTTTCAAATCCACAGAAGCACAGAGATAGACATCGAAACCAAGGGTTATTTTCAGTGCTTGATTGTCCATTTATAATGTGCCCTGAGATCAATGGTGTAGAGGCTTTTCCTAGAATATACCAGGCATCCCCAAGTATAATCGATTTACTCTGCAAAACGTGGTAAGTGGAAATATCCCTTTGGGTTGGCTTGTGTGCTGTGAACATTTGGGACCCATTGAGGCCCCGTGTAATATGAGTGAGTTCATTTGAGATCCTAACTCAGACCAACTTGCCAAGTTCACATGTAGCTTTGACAGAGGGCTGGCTTTTGACATTTGGTTGTCGGATGTAGAATATGACTCCAGAACAATGACTTTTAATAATCCTAGTTTGTGCTCTTCTAAACCTGTGTCATTAAACTCCCCAACCATTTGGAGAACATACAGATAGCCCATGGTACCTCAAATTTCCTTACAAAAAGGAGAGTCGGGGGCTGTTTTGTTTCTTGGTCCTGCTTCCAGGATAGCATGGTGAAGCCTCCCTGGACCCAGGCATCCTGGAAGCAAGAGTCCTAGAGCTGTGTGTGGATTTCCCAGGTCCCATCTATGAGTGACAGGAGATTCCATCCGGCCCCAAGGACAGTGTAAAACCCTTTTCTGCACCCTCTGCCACCCACCCCTAATCCCACCCCAGTGCCTTCTCTACCTGGCCTCGGGAGCTCCAAGTAGCCAACCAGGACAGAGATCTCTTGCTGACCATCCACTTGGAGGCTACAGGAGCAAGGTCTGCCTCTCTTCTCCAGGGAGCTGGGGCTCTAGAGAACAAATTCCTGCTCCCCATCCCCTTGGCACCCCGGAACCAGCTTGAGGATGCGACATCAGAGTGAGAGCAGGCAAGGAATGTGTTGGCTGCCTGGCCACCCCCACTGGCATGTCCTGGCTGTATGTTCCCTCTCACTGTTTATCCTCCTGGGACTATCCTTGGACTTCTTCTCACTTGCCCCTGATTTGTGCCTCTGTGCCAAGGGGAATTATACAACTTGAACTCATTTGCCATGCTGTTGGGATGCTCGTCTGTTACTGATTTCTTCAGCTTTTTTATTAAAAGCATTTCTGTTTCCATTTCCCCTGCTCAGAGCCCTCGGAGTGGTTGTGCACAATTACCAGAATGCCAAGTTACTAGCATCCCACCCATGGAGGAATGCCAGACTCAGACATGAAAACGTTGGTCTTGCACAATGCGTGGATGAGTCAGGGCTTGCTTTGATAGGGAATGAGGGTTCTTTTTTTCTCTTAAAGAGTGGTTTTAAGCTGGGCTTGGTGGCTCTGCCTGTAATCCCGTGCCTTTGGGAGGCTGAGGTGAGTGGATTGCCTGAGCCCGTGGGTTCGAGACCCACCTGGGCAACTTGGTGAGACCTCATCTCTACAATAAATCAAAAAATTAGCTGGACGTGGTACTGCACGCCTGTAGTTCCAGCTACTTTGAAGGCTGAGGCGGAAGGCTCGCCCAAGCCCAGCAGGTCGAGGCTGCGGTGGCTGGGAGCGGCCACTGTCCTCTAGCCTGGGCGACAGAGTGAGACTCCAACTCAAAAAAAAAAAAAAAAAAAGAGTGGTTTTATAGGCCCCACCTTTGAAAGATAGCAATAGCCGTTTGGTGTTGGTAGTCCTTTGGGGTTTTATGAATAAACCTTCAAGAGTATTGTTTTTACTTAAAAAAAAAAAAAAGTTTGTCTTCCCAGCACAACCGTGATGTAGCTTGCATGTGGCAAGCAACTCCCTGTGGGTAACCTCTGCGCTGGGTGGCTCTGGGGTGTTATTGCTGCCTGTTTCCAACCGGGAGTGGAAGTGATTTGGGACAAGTTCCTGATGGAAGGAGGTGAGCGGATAAGACGGGGCTGTTTTCCTGTTGTCCTCCCCGAACGTGTCTTGAAATTGTGCTTAGGAGATGAGACTGTGGAACATCAAGTGTGGGCGTGTGAAGGTCATGGCCAGGCAGGCTAAGCAGGGTTGTTCAAGGAACGTCAATGGCCAGGCACGGTGGCTCATGTCTGTCATCCCAGCACTTTGGGAGGCCAAGGCAAGAGGATTGCTTGAGCCCAGGAATTTTTTTTTTTTTTTTTGAGTCAGAGTCCCACTCTATTGCCCAGGCTGGAGTGCAGGGGCATGCTCAGGGCCACCACATCCTCGACCAGATTGGCTCAGGCGATCCTTCCGCTTCAGCCTTCCAAGTAGCTGGAACTACAGGCATGGGCTACCATGCCTGGCTAATTTTTTGATATATTGTAGAGACAAGGTCTCACCAAGTTACCCAGGCTAGTCTTGAGCCCCTGGGCTCAGGCAGTTCTCTCTCCTTGGCCTCCCACAGTGCTGGGATTACAGGCTTGAGCCACTGCACCCAGCCAAGCCCAGGTATTCAAGACCAGCCTGGGAAACACAGCAAGACCCTCATCTCTTTAAAAAAAAAAAAAAAAAAAGGAACTTGTGATTTCTCAACCTACCTGAAGCCGCCATCCCTGCTCACACACTCTCACCTCGAGGTCAAAACCCACCAGGGCAAGGTGTGGTTTTCCAGACTCTGCCCTCTCCTGCAGGACTGCCCTGCTCCTCTTTCTCCACAACAAGCAGCTAGGAGGGAAGAACTTGGTTTTTTTAGCCAGCCTCCACCCTAAAACAGCCACAGATGGGTCTAGCCAAGCCAGAGCTCACCAGTTTGGTGGTTTTTTATTGTGTAGATTTAGGGGTTACAAGTGCACTTTTGTTACACGGGTATGCTGCATGGTGGTGAAGTCTGGGCTTTTAGTGTACCATCACTCGAACAGTGTACATGGTACCGTTAAGTTCTATCTTATCCCTCCACCCTCCTACTCTACCCTTAGCCCACTCTGTATGTACCCAGTGCTAAGCTCCCACTTAAATGAGAACAGGTATTTGACTTTCTGTTTCTGAGTTATTTCACTTAGGGTCATGGCCTCCAGTTCCATCCATGTTGCTGCAAAGACGTGATTCATTCTTTTTAATGGCTGGGTAGTAGTGGTCCATGGTGTGTGTGTGTATACCATATTTTCTTTATTCTATCATTCATTGATGGACATTTAAGTTGGTTCCAGGTGTGAGCTGCCACACCCGGCCACGAGTCACATTTAAAAAACCCAAATCAGCCAGGTGTGGTGGCTCATACCTACAATTCCAGCACTTTGGGAGGTTGAGGTAAGGAAGGATTGCTTGAGCCCAGGAGTTTGAGACCAGCCTGAGCAACATACCAAGACCTCCTCTCTATAAAGAAAATTAAAAAATTAGCTGGGCATGGTGGAATGCACCTATAGTCCTAGCTACTTGGGAGGCTGAGACAGGAGTATCACTTGAGCCCAGGAGGTAAAGGTTGAGTTCAGTGAGCCAATATCGTGCTACTACAATCCAGCCTTGGCAACAGAGTGAGACCCTGACTCAAAAATAAATAAATCAGCCAGGCGTGGTGGCTCAGTCTGTAATCCCAGCACTTTGGGAGGCCAAGGCGAGAGGATTACCTGAGCCTGGAGGTTCGAGACCAGCCGGGGTAACTTGGTGAGATCTCATCTCTACAATAAATCACAAAAACTAGTCGGGTGTGGTGGCACGCATCTGTAGTTCCAGCTACTTGGGAGGCTGAGGCGGAAGGATCGCCTGAGCCCAGGTGTCCATGAGCGTGCCACTGCACTCCAGCCTGGGTGGTAAGAATGAGACTTCAATGCAAAAAAATACATACAGAAAAGTGATCCTGGCAGCTGAAGTGAAAGCAGATTATAAAAGTGGGGATACTGGGGTCCAGGTGAGGTTGACCATAACCTGAACTTGGATGAATACAGAAGTGGGACTGACGGGCTTGTTATGTCACAGGGAGGTGGCAGGGCTTGACTCAGGGTTGAAGTAGTAGCAGCAGTTGAGAATGACCCAGGTTTCTGGTTTTAGGAGCCAAATGTAAGTGATGACATTTACTGAGAAGGGGGAACCTGGAGGTGGGACTCTTAATTCTATCATGATATCAAGGCGGTGATTACTAGGGTTCTAATGAGAAAAGGATTCAACCTACTGTTATTTTAATCTCTCTGCTACATGGTTTGATAGACAACAACAGCTTAGAAGCTAAACAGATCATCAACCCTCCAGGACTCACTCCAAATAGATGCTAATCAAATGTTCTGATTGATGGCAGCATTATCTCAAGAGACAGAATTAAATTCCCGAGGTTCTGCCCTGAAGGAGCAAAGACCTGAGGCTGTGAAGACTCTGATTTCCCATTAGAGACCCTGAGTTAGATCTGTGTTAGGAGCAGCTGACAGCCTCCTGTCCCCTCACCCTCGCTTTTTTTAGTGGGAAGTTGGAAAAGTGAAATTTAATGTTTACTTCTATTAATATTTGATTTTTAAACATGTGTATGTAATTATTTTTAGAATAAAAGACCAAACATAAGCAATATTTATTTGCATCACTAATGAATATGCTTTAGTCTGTCCTATATAGACATTTTAATGTAGACTTGAATTTATCCAGTTTGAGAAAAACAAGATAGAGTCAATCAAGAATTATAACTTAATTAACTTAAAACACTACATTCTTCTAAATTATCCTTTAATGTATAAATACAAATTAGTTTCTTCTTACAAGCATTTTTTTATCATGTAAAGGGAGGAAAATGAGGAAAATATACATATCTATAAATTTGTAGCTAGAATTTTCTGTAGAAGTCACTATTAGCTAGCATAGAATGACCTCTTATCCTTGAAAACATCCATGACTAGCTTCACAGATTGCATGATCATATCCTGATAGAATTCCCAGATACCCTCTAGAGCTAAAATATTTCTGAAATAGATGTGAAACATACTAACGCAATAGGATTTATTTTTAACATTCTGCTGCTGCAGAAGTCAGGGGCAGATTGACAGGCTTTGGTGTCGGGAAGGGTCAGAGGAATGTGTCCAGCCAGAGCCTATGTCCATCCTTCAGATATCCAGGGTCCTGGAATCTTCATCCAGACAACCCTGGGGGACGAGGGCTGCAGAAGTCCTAGGACCGGGGCTGGCTGTCCCCAGGCAGCCCCGTGTTCTGGCACAAAACTCGAAGGACTTGAACCTGGCCTTCTGGGTTGTTATGAGCATTTGTCAAGGACAAGGATAGAACCTGTGTTAACAGTTTATTGGTGTGACTTCTAACCAGTAAGTATTTATCCCTATGGTTTGTGAGCCTATGTTTGTCCCAGTGAGCCTCTATTTGTCGCAGCCCTGCCAATGCTGGGCAGGCCCAAGTTGTCACCACTAAAAAAAAAAAATCCTGTGTGAGGATTGTTGTCTGCTCAGTGACACATGGCTTTGAGAGCAAATCTAAGGCCTTGGCCTTTCCAAAATAAGGTTTTTAAATAGAGTTGCTGTCCAATACCTCACCCTGGTAGGGGTTCTCATGGTGTGGGATAGCAAACCACACCCACAGCACCAACTTGAGGATCCTCCTGCACCTAACCTGAAGACAAGAGCCAAGAAAGGAGTGAACAGGTGCTGGGTGGGGCACAGAATGTTGTTCTGTGGGTTCTTCACCTTTGCTGCAGAAAAGAATTTCAGAGCGAATCCAAAGTATAGCTTAGGAAAGAATTTATTAGAAAGAAAAAGACATGCGCAAAGGAAGTGTGGGTGACTTAAGAGAAAGGACACATGCCTGCCTTTGACAAGAAGCCTTATGTACTTTCAAAACGGTAAGTAAGCACACCATGAGCTAAGAGCAGAGGGCTGCAGGTCACGAGTTTGATTACCATTCCTCAGCCTTTCAAGGTCACAAGGACCTTCCAAATAATGAAAGTTGCTGTGTAACTAGATTTGTGCTTTTCTGAGAATATCATGTCTGTGTTTTGGGTAATTCTGTATTTTTTTGTGTGATTTACTGTACGGGTCGTTCCATATTCCAACCCACAAGGTGGTCAGGTCTGATGTGCCTGATCAGTTGAGTGAAGGTCATGTATTATCGGATAAGAAAGATGTCTGTTTGCTTACCCTGTTCTAAATTAGACCTGCCTGACTACTTCTGAATGATGTTAACTATGCCTGCCTCACGAACCACTTCTGTGTCTGTCCCGGGGAGACACATGCCCCAGTTCCCCACTGGGAGAGGTCGTGGGGAGTGGCCTGAGCAGGGTGGAGCTGTGGGTTCCTGTCGAAAGCGTTTGCCTTTCAGAGGAAGAAACTCCATCACGGCAGCTCAGCAACTCTCTGGGCTCTGATGGGAAGGGCAGGCCCATTTTCACCACCCAGTGCTGCCACTGCCTGAAAGTTGTGTGGACCTCAGTAAACAACACTCTCTCCCTCCCTCTTTCCATCCTGCTCTTCCCTCACCCACCCCTCCTTGTCTTTTCTCCCTCACCGTCTGCAGTAAACCGGTCCCCTTCCCACTGCAGCGGGTTGAATCGCTCCGAGTCTCCGAACCGGGAGCGCAGTGACTTTGGGGGGAGCAACACCCAGCTGTTCAGCAGCAGCAACAACCTCTACACACCTGACTACTCCGTGCATATCCTCAGCGACGTGCAGTTTGTGAAGGTAACCCCCCAGGAAGGCAGTCCGCTCTCGCCCAGCAGGCGGGGTTGGCTCTGGGATGGGGAGCCGGATGGGAAGACCTCGTCCCTGGGGATAATGTGCGTCCCACCGCCCATGTTTCGGTGGCATGCTGGGATGGTGGGGGGTACTTGCCAAGACCCTGTTTTCAGTAAGCATCCTGGTGGTTCATTATTTGTCACGCTTTGAAGATCTCCTGACCCCCATGTGGAGAAACTGAGGCACAAAGCAATAGGAGATTAGTTTGCCTGAGACATGCAACTGCCAGAGCTATTTTCTTCGGATTTCTCAGCATTGGCATCCGTTTGATGTTGTTCATATATTTTTCCAAGATGAATTTGCTGTTGACTAATAAACCAAGTGCATAGAAGAAACCATGCTATAATTTTACATATGATGGTTTATCTTTACAGCTTAATATTTAAAGTCTAAAACACAATTGGACCTGTGTGTGAACTGAAAATCTTGTGTGATAACCACTAATGACCCCTTATTGTCCTCGAGCTGTTTAGAGAGAACCACTCTTTGCCTTGTCTTTTTTTTTTTCCTTTTTTGAGTTGGAGTCTCACTCCATCACCCAGGCTGGAGTGCAGTGGCACACTCACGGCCACCCCAGCATTGACTTGCTGGGCTCCGGTGATCCTTCTACCTCAGCCCTCCAAGTAGCCAAAACTACAGGCGTGCACAACCACACCTGGCTAATTTTTTGATTTATTGTAGAGATGAAGTCTTGCCAAGTTGCCCAGTTTTTAAACCCATGGGCTCAGGCAATCCTCTCACCTCCGCCTTCCAAAATGCTGGGATTACAGGCTTGAGCCACCGCGCTTGGCCTGCCTTGTGATTACCGAGGGGAACAGTGGACTCTTCATTCCTTGCTGGGATCAGCATCACACAGAAGCCTTTAAAAGGCTCCCCCTTGCTCCTGCTCCCATGAGTTTTATTTCACTTTCCTTTGTTTCCTAGCTTTCTGAAAGCCACAACAAACTTTGGCCTGGGATCTGGCTAGAGCCCCATTTTCTCCAGTTCCCCAAAATGCCCAGTGGGTTCACTTGGTAGCTGTTGTCCCCTTTGTAGTCTGGGTCATGAGAGGTGTCCTGAAGTCATCAAGGTGGGAGAAGGTCCTCCCTTTCCTTCTGTCTGGAACACATGCCCTGATTATTTGGAGAGCCATGTGCGCTGGGTGACTCTCTAACTTCCAGGACTCCGCGGACACTCTGAGCTTAAACTGACATCAGCTGGTGAAAGTAACCATGGAATGTCATCAGAGGGAGGGGCAGAACCTGGAGGGTGCCCCCGTATAAGGCTCGCTACTGAGCCCCTTGCCTGAAGTGTCCGCTTACTCTCACACCCACCACCTGAGGCAGGTGCTGCTGTCATCCCCCTTTTGCAGATGAAGAAGTTGAGGGCGTGTAGGGTCACATGGCTAGTCACGGCAGAGCCATGCTTCAGAGTTGAGTCTTTCTGCCTCCAGAATCCAAGCCCTAAACTCATGGGGCTTTGGGGAAGGTTGTGGGGAGTCAGAGCAGAAGGAGCCAGGAAGTGGCTTTACGAAGCAACCAAGCGGTACTCACGGGGTGTATGACAGTGACATTGAACAAGTCTAAGGTGACAAGGGGCGAAACCTTATAAGCCACAACTCATGATTCTCCTTCCTGTGGCCGCCATCCTCGGGGTCCCCTCATCGCTAATACAGACCATCCCCAGAAGTGGAGGCAGGAAAGAAATGGGAAAGAGAAGCATTCCTGTGTTCACTCCTCAGTGGTGTATAGCACTGGGCACATGGTTTGTGGAAAAAGAAATGGAAAGTCATACTCTGAGAATGGGGTTCGACAAGTATTTTTTTTTTTT